TAAGGATTTTTATTTTTATTATTTTTATTTATTTATTTTTTTATTAGGGGTCCTAATAAGGATTTTGTTGTGTTCCTTAAAGCCGATTACGACTTATGGCCACCCTAATTCTTAACTACTTCAACTGAGTTCGGAGTTTATTGACCGTATTCGAATTGGAATTGAGTCTCAAGTTGAAAGCATTTTGTTTCCGTCTTCAAGTCTTAAATTCTGAGACGCTCGAATCCCGTCCACACTGCAGAAATAATCCAGTTTGGGCCCTCTTTAGCTGCCCTGGTTAGGGAATTCTGGGAGCTAGTTTTGGAAGACATTGAGCCTTCTCTTGTCGGAAAGCTCTGGTGCCACAGTCAACTATATAATTCTTATTTACTTGTGCCCCGTCTTTTGCCGTAGCAATCAAGGCGGCTTACAGCTAAAACAGATACAAACCCCAACAATGAACATCATACAATTCCCAGGATTCCCTAGCACTGAGCCAGGGCAGTTAGAGCGAATTCAAACTAGATTATTTCTACAGTGTGGATAGGACCGTAGTCTTACCAGCAAACTCGGCCATTGATTGAATCAATAGGATTTCCTTCCATATCGACTAAGAATAGCGTTCCAGCTGTCTCAAGAGAAGTCAGCTGTAGTTCAATTACTCCTTCCGTTACTAATTTACCCCTGGCAATCATTATCTGAGTGTAAGAGGAAAGGGAAAAACAGCGTCCTTTCAGGAAAGGAGAAAAAGTCGTTGTCAGGAGTGGGATTCGAACCCACGCCTCCAGAGGAGACTGCGACCTGAACGCAGCGCCTTAGACCGCTCGGCCATCCTGACTCCTGTTTTCATAGTTTTCACATTTTTCATATATTTTACGTGTTTGTGTCCTTCTTATGTGCTTTCAAGTCATTTCTTATTTATGGTGCCCATAAGGTGAACCTATCATGGGGTTTTTCTTTTCAAGTTTCTTCAGAAGGGGGGTTGCCATGGCTATCCTCTGAGGCTGAGAGTGTGTGACTTTTGGTATCATCCAGCCGTTGCAATCGGCCAGCATTCAACTGGACACCTTTCCCCTTTTGTCCAGCTGCTACCAATATTTAAGGCTAGCAGTAGTTCCCAAACTTTGATCCCCCCAAAGTATTTTGGACTTCAGCTCCCATAAGCCCTAGCCAGCTTGGCCAACAGTCAGGAATGCTGGGAGCTGAAGTCCAAAACATCTGAAAGACCAAAGTTTAGGAACTACCAGGCTATTGGAACCCGTTTAAGAGGGAGGGAAAATAGTGGCCACGAGGGGGCGCTCACTCATACTCTAGGTGCCTTTTGACTGAATTAAAAGCAGTTTTATAGATATTCCTCAGCATCAGTATGTGTATAATAGTACCTTTTTTAATTTCCTTTTTTAAAAAAAAAAAAATCATTGCCTTCTGGTCTTTCTCTCTCCATGTTTGCCAATATTAAAAAAATAGCATTAAAAATAAAAATAAAGCTTTTTTAGCAGAGGATGGTTTCGATCCATCGACCTCTGGGTTATGGGCCCAGCACGCTTCCGCTGCGCCACTCTGCTTGGATAAAAAAACCGCCTCCTGAAAACCTTTTTAGATTCCTATCGTTTTAATAGGATTTTTTTTCTTTTTAAAGGCATAATGAGTCTTATATTACTAACTGGGGTTAATATATCCATGTTCTCAGCTGACAAACATCCAATCACGTTGCAGGACAGTGAATTAGTAGCATTACATGCTTCCTAGTGAGAAGTGTGAACACTGCTTGTTAGATTGCTGTTCTTTTATTGCATAATATGTGTGCTGTGGCATGATGTTCTATTAGCAATATATATATATATATATATATATATATATATATATATATATATAGGCCTTTTGCATTTAGTAACTGGCTTCCAAACAGCAAATATTCCTACTTTAGCATTGGCCAGCCTCTATACACTATTGCATGTCAGCTGCCAAATACATCCATTATATTATTATTATTATTATTATTATTATTATTATTATTATTATTATCCACAAACTATCTGCCATTGCATGTTCAGCTTCCAAGTCAAATGGTAGTGTGCATTGAAGATGCTTCAACCTTTCATTCAAGGTTTACCAATCCCCTATGGGAGGTAGCCCAGAGCTTCCTTTGGACTACACCTCCCAGCATCCCCCACCCAGGCAGCTTTTCTCAAAAAGGCTGTGTATCACCTCATCTCTTTCCTCTGTTTACTTATCTCCCTCTGTTAAATTTTAATATGTAAAGTATCCCATTTCCTCATTAGATGCATCTACACTGTAGAAATAATGCAGTTTGACACCACTTTAAGTGCTAGAGCCCTGTCCTATGGAATCCTGGGGTTTGTAGTTCTACAAGGCCTTTATCCTCTGCCAAAGAGGGCTAGGGCCTCACCAAACTACAAATCCCAAGCTTCTGCAAGATGGAGCCAGGGCAGTTAAAGTGCTAAACTGCACTATTTCTAGAGTGCAGATGCACCCTTTGCTGTTAAGTACAATAACATCCCAAATCCATAAATCAGTGATTGGCCAAACCAACATGCACAAAATAAATGTTGCAGGCTTTCGAAGCTCCACTGGCTTCTTCATGAAGCAAAGATGTTAGAAATCATACAGGATCAAATCACATG